ATAGCCGAACAATATTTAAAATATGAAGCAAATACTTTATTCATTAAAAATAACATTTTTGTATTTAATCAAAAAGTTTTAAGTCTCGAAACAACACTGTCACAACAGTTTATAATCTATTGTGACAAAAATGTCTACAATAAATCAAACAAAAAGATTATCATGAAAAACTTATTGAGAAACATTTCGATATTATAAAAAAGTTAATATATTCTATTTAATATTAATGTATTGGATAATAAAAGATAATTAAGAATATAAACTAATTGTAAAAAATAATTGGAGTGTTTTAATCAATAAATTTAGTGCCATCCAGTAGTTTTAATATAACGTCGATATCATATTTAAATTAAATTTTAACATTATACAACGTCTTAGATAATTTTATAATTAAGTTTTAAATAAAATTTTATTTGAAAAAACAAAAAAATAAAAAACAAAAATATTTTTTTTTTATTATTTTTGGAATAAATATAACAAACTCGTTATAATTTTTCTACATAATTATTTAATAATCTTTTGATTTTAAAAAAGCCATGTAAACCAATGCAAGTATAGCGCCGTTATTTGTTTCAAATTAAAAAATAAAAATCAAATTAAAACACATTTATTTTCTTTACTATGACTTTGCTTTCCAAAATGTGGTGTGGCTGTGTTTTCAACTTCGTTGAGAATGCTTTGTTCATATCTTCGTTTTAGTAATGAACGTTTAGTCACATCATCAATAACGTAAAACACTCCATCACACTTCAATGCACTCATCTCGTAAAATCGCGTTTGTGTGCATGTCATTTTCTTCACGATTTCTCTCTGACTCACCTGGATTTTGTCTTCTTCGTCTCGCTGATTGCCAACGACACACAAAATTGGTTGATAAAAAAGATCTGACATATCAATAACATCATTTGTTAATCTTTCATTTGTTTTTCGAACATTCTTTTCTATTGCTTTGATGTAATTGTCGACTTCATTTAATGTACCAACATCTCTTAAACTGTATATAATTAATATTGCTGATTTACCTCTTATAGTACTTTGGGAAATCATTCTAACTGGGTGATTGTTGTAATACGTTTCAGAGGCGTCTATGGGTAATGTCATTTTTTAAATTGTCATTTATAACACAATTGTTAGTTATAACATGTAAAATATATATAAATATACACAATGTCAATGTATATAAAACCATAAAAGTATATCAAACATATAATTCAAAATGTAGATTTGTTATGTTTTTAATTGTAGATATTTGTTTAAAATTAACAAACATGTTTTCCATAATAAAGCTTTTATATTAACACCATCAATAATTTTATTGTAGATTACAAAATTTTCTAAATATCGCCACTCATAATTGAATGGTATGTCTTCTTCACCTTTAAGTCTTTGTATTACTTTAGCACAAAACAAATTTCGTCCCGTGTTACATTCTCCGGTCACCAGATAACTAAATAATTCTATTTGTGGTTCGCAATCCATTTATTGAAGAATAGTTAAGAAAGTTTTTTATCAAAAACAATTTTTTTATTTTATAATTTTTTAGTTATTTAAATAATAATATCATAATAAAATATAAAATTGTTAGTTTTTTATCAATCCTTTAATAATTTATTTTAATAATTATAAAGATATTTATTTGAGCGCCAATTAATAAGTTTTTATAATAAAAAGATAATGTTTAATACTAAAAGGCAACAAATGTTAAAACTAAAGATACTATTCGATCGTCTAGTCACAATCATCATTGTTTCTTTTTTGATTACCTGGGTTAAATATGTTACAACATAAATTTCAACAAATACAAAAATTTAGATTAAAAAGATATTTATTAACTCCTCCAGATATATCAACATAGGGTTGAAACTATGCCCAGGTAAAAGCTCTTGTTCAACAATTCTCAGAAAATGCCAATCGTAAGTTTGTGCGTGTTAATATAGACCCGGAATTGCGTGAAGATATTGAACATCATATTTTATTGAATTAATTTTCTTATATTTTTTTATTATATTTATTTATTATCATGATTATTTGATTTATAAAAACATGTTAAACTTAATTCATTAATTGATTTTATAATAATTATTCGTTGATAAGTTTGATACATACATTTTTTTAATATTATTATGATATTATTTTTTCCCTTCAACAGCAAATATGTCTATTTTATTGTAATAATAATCGTCGAACTTGCTTAATTGTCGCACAACTTACCATTCATTTGGGCGTACATCAATTAGATATTTTGTACTTGAATCTGTAACTTATGTTAAATTAAAAACTTCATTTTTTTTAAAAATA